ATTCCTGAAGTTCTGTGGAAGTTAGAACCTAAAGAACGTGTTCTCATGGACTAAAAATTTCTGGTCAATTTTATCTTAATTTCCAAAAGAAAATAGTTTCTAAGTTTTTCTACTTAGCCTCTCAAGTAAAAGAGAGAGACCTAGACATTGTCACACCAGTAAAATTCAGCACCAGGCCAGCCGGTGGTTAAGGCACTGGATCCCATGGGCCAACTGTGCAGTTCAAGTCTTGGACCTGGTGGCTCGGAAAATATGCCAGCAACATGTGCGTGCATGCCCGAAATACTGAGAGGAGAATGGAGAAGGGACTGCAGTATGGCCATCCCCACTAGGGGGTGATTTCTAACCCCTCTACCCTTTCTGTATCTCTCTGGTGAGGGCACATCCCCTACAGCAAAACTAAAACAAAACAAAACCTTCAACATTCTATGAGGCTCTGTGAGGTTGACTCACATGGGAAGGTTCTGGGTTCACATCCAGAGACCCAAGTACACTGATTATGCATGTTCTCATGATCAGGAGCTGACTGAAGCTGGGGGTGGATTGCTGTGCAAAGACTATGTTGGCATACTGTGTGTGTGTCTCTTTTTCTGTGTTTCTCACTCAGAGAAGAAATAAACTTTTTTTTCTTTGTTTAATTGAATTTATTTATTTACATTCATTCACTGTACATCATTACAGTATACAAAGTAAGATTTTCCATCCAGAGTACACTGTATATTGTCTCAATCAAGTACATCAACATACATGTTATCGTCAACAAATCATTTTCCATTTCTTGTTTCCTGTATGTTTTGCTTTTTTTCCCACCCTTGATTCCCTATCTCTTACCCTCTGCCATCTCCCACTCTCCTCCTACACAGTCTCTGGTATCTATGTTTGCTTTCTATACTCCCCCCCCATATTGAGTCATTAAAGATCTTAATTAATCTAAATATTTTCATAGCAAGCACAGCTGATATATACATAATCTTCTGCTCAAGGCCTGGCCTCTCCTGCCATGCTAGCTTGTTTGCTGGAGGCTGAAATATCAGTAGGAACCCTTCATTTCTCTTCTACCCTGAAAATCTGGGAGAAATAAACTTTTATAAAAGACAGAGATTAAATAGTCCATCCCTTATCTGTATGTTTGGAATGCAACTAAAACCAACTCAGCTTTTCTTCAAACCTTTCTCTACTTTCTCTACTTCTCTCAGAACATCACCATTCAACTAGACAATTCCACAAGGAAACTCTGAGGTCACCTGAAATCTACTCAGCACTTTTCAAGAATACCATACATTGTCAGGAACCAGCAGTTAGCGTAATGGCTATGTCGCTGGACTCCCACGTAGTCGACCGCGGTTCATGTCCCAGACCGGGTGGCTTAAAACTCACACCGGGCGCATGTGTGTGCGTGCCCAAGATCCCGAGAGGAGAATGGAGGAGAAGGGATTGCAGCGTGACCATCCCCTCTGGGGGGTGATTTCTAGCTTTCTGTCTCTATGTCTCTCTCTGTCTGGCGAGCGCACGTGCCCTATAGCGAAAACCTCTCCGAAAAAAAAGAAAAAGAATACCATACATTGTTATAATAAGTGTAGTCATCGCATTTTACACTAAATCTCTTGAATTTACTCTTCCTGCTTAACTGAAATTTTTTATCCTTTGACCAGCATCTTCCCAAACTTCCACTCCAGGCTCCTGGTAACCAGCATTCTACTCCTGTTTGAGTTCAATGTTTTTAGATTCCATGGAAAATAAGCATATACATTATATGTTAATTTGCTCAATTTAGCCATTCCACAATATATACATATTTCAAAACACTGTGCTGTAAACAATAAATATATGCAATTTTAGGGGGGGAGAGATTTTTGCTATAGGGTACATGCGGTCACTGGAGAGACAGAGACAGAAAGTGAGAAATCACCCTCCAGGGGGGATGGCCACACTGCAATTCCTTCTCCTCTGTTCCCCTCCTGGGGTACTGGGCATGCATGCACACCTGCCTGGCCTGAGTTTGAAGCCACCATGTCCAGGTCTCGAATCACAGTCGGCCACATGGAAGTCCAGCAACGCAACCATTCCACCATCTCCTGGTCCCAATATATGCAATTTTTTTATTGCCAGAGGGCACATGCACTTGAGAGAGAGAGAGAGAGAGAGAGAGAGAAAGCACCCCTTAATGGGGTGTAGTCACACCACAATCCTTTTTCCTCCACTTCTCCATCTCATCAGGATTTTGGACATGCATGCACATGTACCTAGCATGTTTATCAAGCTGTCTGGGATAGATTCAAACTACACTCGGTCATGTAGGATCTGGCTTCCTATGCATAGCACTGACTACTATGCTACAGGGCTGGTCCAATAGACACCATTTTTATTTGAAAATTAAAAGAAATTTTTAGGGTCAGCCTTGTGGCCTAATGGTCAGGGGAGCTGGAACCTACATGGCCATCTGCCCAGTTCAAACACCAGCCCTGGCAGCTTGTAAAACATGCCAGGCACCGTGCATGTGTTCACCAAACAGGTTGGAGAGGTGGAGAAGGGACTGTGGTATGAACATACCCCATTGGGAGATGCTTTCTCCCTCTTCCTCTCTCTAGTGAGCACACACTCCCTCTGGCAAGTAAATACTAAAAAACGAAACAAAACAAACTCTGAGATCATCCTTATCATTACTCTCATCCAACTAAGTCCTGCCAATTCTGGCTATGAAATGATCTGGATGCTATTTTCTCTCCTTTACCTTCTGTACTTTTCCTAGATATCTTAGTTCTTTCCTGAATGGATTCAGCAGCATCCTAACTTACTGATGGCCCTCAGATAACTCAAACCATCACTATAAAAAAGAAAGACCTTTCCAAACTGCAAAGCTGATTACTGTCTATCCTTATTTGAGATCTTTCGGTATGTTGTTTTATCTGGGACTCATATGAGTGACAAACACGTAAATGATGTGGACACATCTACCTCCTCCAACCTCATCTCTCAGTCACTCTGCCCTCTCCCACATTTCTCCTGTTATTTCTCAGCTTCATGGGTTTGCCCATGCAGAGTCCTCCAAAATGTCCTTCATTTCTTTTGTCTTTCTGTAGAGCTGACTATGAGCAGGCAGAGTTTATGTTTTCCTTTTTTAAAAAACTTGTCCATTTATTTATTTGTTATAGAATCATTTAATTTAATTTTCTATTATTCTCCTTTAATTTGACCAGAGAGAGACAGAGAGAGGGAAAGTGAGAAAGCAAGCTACCAGGTCAGGGACTCTAATCATAGTTGGCCATGTGGGAGTCCAACACCTCAACCACCACGCCACCTGCTGGCCCCTGTCCCCCTATTTTTGTCTATCAATTTCTCCCTATCAGACTGGAATCCCTTTCAAGCTAGCTTGCTCCACATTCCTATTGCTATGGCTGTGCCTAGAACATAAGACATGCTCAATAACTGTTTACTGCCTGCTCCAATGAGACAAAAAGGAATGAATGAGAAGAGAAGTGAAAAATGGAGAGTGGTTAACCTTGTTCCATTTAGACACAATTTAGCATCATGGAAATCACACTACTGAGATCTGCATGCCTATAATTTGAAAGACTAAATTATTCTCTGAAACTCCCAAAACATATAACGTTAGATAAACTGTAACAAAAACATCTGTGGAGGCCCAGTCTCTGTGGCACAGTCAATAGTGTACTGGACTACGGAGCTGGAGCCACATGCTGACTGCAGTTCAAGTCCCCAGCCTGGGCAGCCTGAAAACACACTGGGTGTATGCACACATGCCCAGGATCCTAGAAGGTTGGAGGACTGGCAGAAGGGGATCATGGCAAGACCAAGCCCTCTGGAAGGTGCCTCCCTCTCTCTCTTTCACATGCATATGCTCTATCATAAAGCTTAAGAAATCTGTTCAAATATATGCCTGAAATCACACACACAAAAGGAAATTCCCGTATTTCAGAAGCCAATAAAAAGCAGAAGTAAAAAAAGTTTTTTTCTTAAACGGTTTAAAAAAAAAACTATCCAGCCATAAAAAAAAAAAACCAGACTGTGGCATTTGATAGAAAGTGGTCGAATATGGAAGATTTACTGCTGCGTAAAGCAACTCAGGCTATGAAAGAAAGATATTGTATGTCTCCACTTAATATATACCAGCTATCTGTACTCTGTGGTAGAGATTGAAATACTGGAAGACATAAAAGCAGTGAAAATAATTATGGACGCTAAAGACAGTATGGAATGGAGGGAAGGGGATAAGGGAAGGGTATAGGGAAGGAAATCAGGAAGAAAAAATAGAAACAAAGAAATGGTTTACTACCTGTTAATGATAAAATGTATAGTAGTCTCAACTGGACTGGTCTAAGAAGTATTTCATGTTGGGTACATTCTCTTTACAAGCCAAATGATGTACAGTGATCAAATGTTAAAAAAATAAGAAAATAAAATAATAAAAATAAACACACATACACACATCCTGAGGTATTAAGTATTCATTTTTTTTAAATTCAAGAAACTGCATGCATACACACGTTAGAGAGAAAATATTCCCCAACAGAGTCTTCATGTCACGATCCATCCCCAGCCTGAGCCAGCCCTCAGTTATGGGCACATGCATGCTCAGCACATTTAGGTAGGTCTCTGAATGAGAACCAGAAACCTTCCCATGTAGATCAGCCTGTCAGAGCACTCTGTTTTACTGCTGTACCAACACTCAGTCCCCTTCACCCCACGAATTTTTGAAAGAGGCCAGGCTGTCTGAGGCTTGAGTCACGCAAGAGTTCTCTGCAGCATCCATGAGAGTCCCCTCTCCAGGCCCCAGCTGATGGCCACCAGGTTGCTGGTGTCTGGAAGGGAGAACTCATTGCTCACTGCCCTCTGGGTCTGCCC